CCTCTGTGACTCATTTTTCCTCCATGGGTCTTCCAAGCATCCCCATTTATCCCTTGATGAGCCTCAAACTTGCATCTAGAGCTGGTTCTGGGGGCAGCAGGAGTTCCCATTCCTGTTTCTGCAGGCACTGGGGTGCTTGGGCACTGAAGGCAAGGAGAATTCCTGAAATAAGGTGGCTCTGCTGTTTCTTTTTCTGTTCCTCTGGCCTTTTCCCAGCCTCATTGCAGTGTAAATTGGTTGTGCCTGGAGAAAGGCAGGAAAGCAGGGAAGGCCCAGATCCTTGCTGTGATTGTCATTGTTCCCCTTGTCCCTGTGCAGTGTTCTTACTGGATTCTACGATTCCCTCCCCTAGAAAAAGAGGAACGAGTGGCTGGCTGTCATCCGGGAGAAGAATCTCTCTCATCCAAAGGTCAAAAACTTCTCCTACAAGGACTTCCAGCAGAACATGTTTGAGTTCCTGAAGATCTATGTGGACGACTCGGAGCCGCTGCTGCTGACAGTGCGTGTCCACCCCAGTCCCCTGGAGCTGAGGTGCCCAATTAGCAGAGAGTTAAATCCAGAATACTTTAAATTCAGTCCATCCCTCAAAGATTTATATGGTTGAACATGTTTTTCTATCCATGAAATGCCTTTGTGAGGGGATAAAATGGGATCAGAGCACGAGGAATCACCTCTATAACAGTGCTGTGCTTTTTCTCTCTCCAAGGTAATGAAAAAGACTTTGAATTTGGAACACATTGATGAACCAAAATCCTTGTCGATGACTCCCAAGTCTGGAGATGGGCCAAAGGACCAGACAGCAACTCCAGAGGCCTCGGGAAGGGCAGAGGGTCCCACTGGAGCCCCAGAGCCTGCAGGAGCAGCAGAAGAGCCAGAGGGAGCTGCCAGCCCTGCAGAAAGGGCAGCACATCCCTCAGTGGCTCCAGAGGCCATGGAAGGAGGCAGTGGCCCTGCAGCAGCTCCAGAACCTATGGAAGTAGCCACTGACCCAGCAGCAACTCCTGATCATTTAACAGCAGAGCCTGATGTCCTGAAGGATACTCCAGAGCCTGTGAAAATAGCTAAAGAACCAGCGGCTGTAACTGCAGAACTCCCAGGAGTGTCCACCAGGGATGCAGAAAGGTGGGCAGGGGAGTCTACCCCTGGACTGTGGATGAAGAGGGGCCACAGTTCTCTTCCATGGGATAATCCCCTGTGTCCAGGCAGCTCCTAACTCCCCAAATGCCAGCCAGGCCAGCCCAAAGGTGTTGGTGCAGGACAGCGGATCCCAGGAAAAGTGTTGAGGTGGTTTGGTTGCTGTTGTGACCAGGGAGGGGGGCAGTGGCTGCCGAAGGTTTGCTCCCGTGGAGCAGAGCTGGAATCCCTGTGGTTCAGCGCTTAGTTGGGAATAGGAGGGCAGCAATGGAGCATGGACATGTGTTCTTCAAACCTGCTTCCTGGGACACTGCACTGTTCAGGAGGCCGGACAGGCGGGTTGGGAATTCCTCTTCCTCGGAGTCCACAAGGCAGGTGTTGGGGGTCCCAGCGGAGGGAGAGGCCGGATTTCGGGGCAGCAGAGCTCCCGTGGTGGTTTCTCTACAACCTGCTCGGTTGTGTTTATTTTGTAGGCAGCCCCCCGGAGCTGTAACCTCGTGTGGGATTTCTGTTCTGAGAGAAGCTTTCAAGATCCTGTCGGACTCCCAGGACTCTGATGCACTCTTCACCAAACTGGACGAAACAGACTTTACCTTCCCCAAGCAACTGTCTCCTTCTGTATCCCACAGAACCAAGAGACAGAAAGAAGTGGAGAATCAAGATTCTGAGATCTCAGACCCTCCTGAAATACCCCATAAGAGCAAACGCTTGTTCACCATAAGCAAACTGGTAATGGAGACAGACAACCAGTCCAGCAAGTCGAGTGAGAGCCCCGACTCTTCCCAGGAGCCCGTGGTCTCTTCTGCCTCCAGACCCAGACCTGTGCAGAAATTGCATGACCAGCCAGTGACTACTGAGAGTGCCAAGTATGGAGCCCCTGTCTTGTGGTATAGTCTGTTCTGCCCCCACTTTTGTCTTGCAGCTGATGTCAGTAGTGTTAGCATCAACTTCTTGCTCTTTAATCCAAAGTGACAGTGACCTTGTCCACCAGCACACGTGGAACTGGGCACAGCAAACTCTCTCTTGTCCTCACATTTGGCTTTAAAATTAATTATGGGTTAATGGAGAGGAGAAAACAATCCAGCTCCCACTGGCAGTGAGGTGCTAAAGGTAATCCTAGCAGGTGATTCCAGTGCAGGTGACATGCATTCCTCTGCACTTTTCCCAGCTTCAGCATAACTGCCTAGAGTTTGTAGGAGCATCCTGTGGAACAGGTTAAACTCTGCTTTCCACCTCTTGAGAAACACAATGTCCACAGGCTGGCTCTTTGTGCTGGGTGGCCCTGCACCTCTTCCCCAAAACCCTTCTCCTGAGCAGTAGCCAGAGTAAATCCTCATCTGCTTTCAGGTCCTTCCAGGGAAGGTGGAACAGCTCCCGTGGTGTGGAAGAAAAGGACAGTTGGAGTGAGGAGGATGAGCTCTTCTCAGATGCAGGTAAGAACAAAGTCCCCTGGCAGGGGTTACCTGGTGCTAATCCTGGCTTGGGGGTCACTCAGAGGGGTCTTGCTACCAAGGGTGACTGAATTTTGAAACCAGAAATCCAGTAGAAAGGTTGGGAGAAAGGAACTGGGGTTTGTTGCCTGTCATGGGGTGCTCTGACTGCACAGCTCAGCAGTTAAGCCTGAGGCAGCCTTTCGAGATCTGTACCTCCCAAATTATGGGGTATGTAACCCTCTTCCTTGTTTTCCAGCATCAGTTGGGACAAACAACACCACAGTATTCAACTCCAAGAAACAGGTATGTAAAGCCTTAGGTGCTTCCAGCAGGGCCTGAAACAGGGCTGTGTCTGTACAGTCTCTGTGGTAAAACAGCCCTGTTTGGAAGTTGGCTGGAGCTGGGCACCAGCAATGTGCCTCAGGCACCTTTGCCTTGACAGCTCAGAGCCAGGTTTGCCAAATGCCCCTTGTGCTGGAGGGATTTAGAGCCTTGTTCAGGTGAGGGGGACATGTCTGGCAGCTGTTACCTGGAAAAAGGTCCCAAGGCTGGTGCCATGAGGAACTCTCCCCCTGAGCCGTAGGAAGGCAGCTGCTGGCTCTTGTGCTGCTGCACTATATCTGTAGTGCTGGAGTGTTGTGTGTGCAGCTGCCAGGACCTGTCTGCCTTCCCTGGCTGTCCTGGCACGGAAGGAACATGCCAGGAAGGAGCTGCAGCAGCTTCTCTTCTGTGCAGCTCTTCCCTGAACCTGCTCACCTGCTCTTTGTAGAAATGGACGATCCAGGAGAGCGAGTGGATCAAGCAAGGTGTGAAGAAGTTTGGAGAGGGGAGATGGAAGGCCATTTGCCAGAAGTACCCGTTCCAGAACCGCACAGCAGTGATGATCAAGGACCGCTGGCGGACCATGAAGAAACAGGGAATCCTCTGAATCTGGGAGCCCTGGGACATTCCATGCAAAAGCCTCGTTTTGTTTTTTGGAAGCTGGACCAGAGTGCCAGTACAGGGAGGCTGTCTCAATATGGGGAACTCCTCTGGCACCCCAAAACCAGGACTGCCAGGAACCCAGGAGCCTTGTTCTCCAGCTGGAGCTGCAAAGATCAGTCTGCTGCAGGTAGTAGAGGCTGTGCAGCCTCTCTGCATGTGCCTGGATGGAGATTTCCTTGTTCTCCTGACCACTGCAGCCTCTGTGGGATGAGTCCCAGCTGGATTGCTCTGCTCAGGTACTGTCAATCAGCAGGATTATCCCTGTCTGATCTCTGAATCACTTTTTCACCCATTTGCCATCACTCCCTCGTAGGAGCAAGGCAGCACTGAGTCACAGAGCTCCTGGGGGGAGCAGGCATTTATTTCTGCTTTGTAAATGACTAATTGTGAGGGGAAAATCCTCCCTCCCAGCTCTGAGACTTTAGAACATTATTTTGTGTTTCAGTACTTATAAATGTTGGTCGTTTCCATGTTAAAAGTTCCAGTTCTGGCTGACTTTGGCCATGTCTTCCTGGCACTTTTCCCAGTAATGTCCTTCTACCATGTGCAATCCCTGTGAGCACATGAGCTCCGAGGGCGCTGCGTGTTCCTGCCTGCAGCTGCCAAAGCTGGAATCCATGTCCAAATAGTTACTTGTAAAATAAAGTCCCTTTCTTCTGGATACCAAGAGTTTTAAAAAATAAACTCCCTTTCTTTTTGGATATCAAGAGTTGTAAAAAATAAAGTCCCTTTCTTGTTGGATATCAGGAGTTTGTAAAAGAGTAAATTTGTATCTTGTGGGTGGAAATGCAGCAGTATGGGGCACAGACTGCCCTAGGAATGTGGGGCTCCTTTTTCCCCTCTGGGAGTGTTGGGGCAGGAGCAGCACTGTACTGTAGGTGTAGGTGGTGAGAAACAGGAGTTTCTGGCTTAGATTTCTGTGGAGTAAGGGCAGGGGAGATAGAGGGGCATTTCCTAAACTTAGTTTTAGGATTCTCTGGCTATGTTCCAGCAGAGCCATGGCTGGGAGAACTCTGTCTGGGAACACCTGCTTCCCCCTCTGTCCTTCAGCCACAGGTGCTGCACAGAGTGTCCCTTGTCCCCCGGCTGTGGCCATGCATTTCCCTCTCTTTCTGCCTGTAAATCCTTTCCCTGGGGCTGGAGCAGCCCTGGGCAGCAGGAGCATGGGGACAGAGAGGCTCAATGTGGGCCAGTAATGGCCCATGTGAGGCAATGCCAGCTGGTTGTGCCCTATTGGAAGGAGCTGTGTCCCGTTATGCCCTTCTCCAGGCTGGGCCCTCGGCAGCAGAGGGTGTCCCAGAGCTCCTGCTCCACACCAGGATCACCTTGAGCCATGGAGCCTGTGCCGTGCTCCTCCTGGTGCTGCGGAGCAGTTAATGATTACCCCCCAGCCACCTCGTCCTCCTCTGCCCTGCCCGGCAGGAGCGACGGAGCCCAGGGAGCAGGAGGATGCTGCTGCTGCTGCTCTTGGTGCTGCCAGGCCCCACTGGCTGCCCCCGCATGGAGCCCCTGAGCGGGTCCAGCCCGGAGCCGCTGTTCCGTGGGGCCGATCGCTACGACTTCGCCGTCGTCATCCCCGGCGGCACCGTGGAGTGCTTCTGGCAGTTCTCACACCAGGGCGGCAACTTCTTCTTCAGCTACGAGGTGAGTGCTGGGAGACGTGTCCTGGAAAGCTGCTGACATAGGGAATGGCTGTGCTGGATCAGTGGCATGTAGCAGGTGCTGTGGCACACCACCCCTCAGGGCTGTGCCTTTTCTATGCAATATCATGGAACTGTTTGGGTGGGAAGGGACCTTAAAGCTCATCCCATTCCACCCCATGCCATGGGCAGTGACACCTTCCACTAGATCAGGTTGCTCCAAGCCCTGTCCAACCTGATCTTGGACACTTCCATGGATGGGGCAGCCACAGCTTCTTTGGGCAGCCTTTGGCCTGCCAAGGCCTCACCATCCTCACAGGGAAGAATTTCTTCCCAATATCTAATCTAATCTCTATCCATCATCAATCCCATGCATTTTTTTGAATAGCTGGTTTAAAACCACGAAGTGGTGCTGGGAGCTCTGGACATGGTGCCTGAGCACCCCAAGCTCACTTGCAGAGAGCTGTGGGGTGTCCTGGCACTGTGGGGAGCTCTGCCCTTCGCTGTCTGGCTGGACACTGTGGCATAGCTGAAAGTCCCAGCACAGTGTGTCCCCATGCTCTGTCCCCTTCCTGCAGGGAAACTCCAGCCCTTTTATCTCCTGTGTTACACCGGGTTGGCTGAAGGAGAGCCGGGGCATGGCTGTGCCTGAAGCTGGCACTTTCCCATCGGCTCTGCACTTGGCAGAGCAGCCCCCCAGGAACACAACCTTGGGGCTCAGCACAGCTCCATCCCCAACACACCAGTGGCCCACAAATTCCCTTTGGGTGTTCTCTACCTCCAGGTCCAGCGGGCAACGGGGATTGGCAACAGCAGGAACATCTTGGTCACGGCGAGTGACCCCAATGGCTTCCAGCTTGGAGCCTCCCAGGACGTCCGAGGGCAGATCAACTTCCTCACCAAGGACACAGGTTCCCCCCTGCCCTGGCCCCTGCAGCAGCTCCGAGCCTTCCTGAGTGCCGATTGCTCCCAGATGGGATGGATGAGGGTCAAGCACTGGGGATGTGTCTGCCTGGTGCCCTTCTACCCATGGACCAACAACCCTCATTTCTCTCTGCAGGTTTCTACGAGCTGTGCCTGGACAACCAGCAAAACCACTTTGGCTTCATGCAGGTGTATCTCAACTTCGGTGTCTACTACGACGACTTCAACATGGAACACAAGCAGCCTGTGGAGAAGAAGGAGCTGAATGACACGCTAGAGGCAATCAAGGTGAGGGTCAGGGTGGCCACGGGGTGTCCCAGCACAGGGGGGATGGGCACGTCCTGCCCAGGGGACCAAGAAGGGCGTTTGCTCTGGCTGAGCTGCTGCTGAATGCAGCACTGAGCCCAGCAGGCAGCTCCAAGCACAGCTCTGCCTCTCCTGCAGATCAGCATCCAGAGGCTGCAGATCCACACCTTCCACATGTGGCGTTTCTACAACTTTGCCCGGATGCGGAAAGGGGCTGACTCCTTCCTTCTGGAGTCCAACTACAACTACGTCAACTGGTGGTCGATGGCCCAGAGCTGTGTCATCATCCTCTCCGGGGTGCTGCAGCTCTACTTCCTCAAGCGCCTCTTCCATGCACAAACCTCTGGCAGCCAGAAGTGCTAGAACAGGGCAGGGCTGTGGCTGCCAGTGCCTGGTGACCCTGCTGTGGAGTGGGAGGAAAGGCCAGATCCTGCTTCCAGGAAGAGCTCCACTCCTGCCTCCAGCTCTACCCCCGAAATCATCCCCAGAGAAGCCAAGCACCACACTGTCACCTGAACTTTGTGTGGCAGAAGTGTTTGTCACATCCCTGCCCATCATTAGTGTCCCACTGGGCCTTTTCTACCAGACTCCCAATAAAGGAACCTCTGGCACATTCTGGGAAATGATCACTGTTGCTGCTGTCCAGCTTCTGTGAGCCCAGGGGCAGTGGCCTGCCCATGTCCCCCTCCCTGAACCTCAGCCCAGGGCTGTAAGCTTCCTCCTGAGATTCCCCCTGGCCTCATCCATCCCCCAAACATGTTGGTTCCCCTCTCTGGAGTTGCACCCCAGTGCACTGTGCCTGCCCCAGGAGAACAGAGAACCGCAGGAGGGGCAAAGGCTGAACCCTCTGAGGCTCCGCACCAGACAACAGGCACTAGGAAAAGGAAGAGGCTTTATGTGACAAGGCTGGTGCAGAGGCACCTTCCCCCATGCTGGCAGCAGCCCCCCCAGGGCTGTGGGGCTGTGTACTGGCAGCTCCCTCCCTCTCCATCCCATTTGGGGTGGGCTCCCTGTGGCTCCCCACACCCACAGTCCAGGACAAGGTCCATTCTGCTCAGGAACACTTGCAGGGCATGCAGGTCCCTTCAGGTCCCTGGAATCCCTTAGGTCAGCGTGTCCTCATTCCGCACATACTCTCCGACATCGGCTTGGTGGAACACCACGATGGCCAAGGGATCCACCTTCCGACACTCCTGCGTGGACTTGGCAGCCACCCCAAAGCCCTGGTGGGATGAAGGGGGGGGTGAGAGGGAGTTCTCCCACCCTGTACCCACCCCACAGCTGTGGCAGGCCCCG